TCAAGAAAACCAGTTCCACCTGTCACGCATACTCTTCCCTTTTCCCTAGAGCTATTATCTGCTGCTTTCATCTCCACCAATTATCTCCTGAGACTCTCGCTCTCTTTTTCTCTCTTGACTTTTTTGAACTTAGGCCATTGCTAGTGCATGTTTTTATATAGGAGTTTTATCAATACAAGTCTAAAAGATAGATAAATTATCAATGTGGGGATTGAAAGATTTTTTTTTTTTTAATTCGGGACTTAAATGTTATAAAACTATCAAATTAAAGACTCGAAAGATGGATAAACTATCAATGCAAGGTTTAAAAGATTTTTCTTTTTTTTCTCAATTCAGGCTTTAAATGTTATAAAACTATCAAATTAAGTGTAAAATTAACGAAACTCATAACACCATTAAATTTAGAGTTTAAAAAAAAAAGATTGGTTTAAATTTAGAGTTTAAAAAAAATATATAATATTTAATTATTACATTTTTTTTTCATATTCATTCACATTTTTGAAAAATTTGCATTCTTCCATCAATTTTTTTATACTCTTCAACTCACTTTTTTTGTACTCTTCAACTCACTTTTTTTTTTAAAACTTAATTTGATAGTTTTATAACATTTAAGACCCGAATTGAGAAAAAAAAAAAATCTTTAAGGCCCCGCATTGGTAGTTTACCCATCTTTCGGGTCTTTAATTTGATAGTTTTACAACATTTAAGTTCCGAATTGAGAAAAAAAATCTTTCAGACCCCGCATTGATAGTTTATCATCTTTCGAAACTTGTATTAATAAAACTCCTTTTATATACATATTGTTCTTGATGCTTTTTTAAAAGAATAATAATTTGGTATTTGAGTATTCATAGCGTGGTGTGCATTTATATTTATATATTGTTGCAGTTTAATTATATTTATATTAGTGGAAAAAGTAAACGATGCCGCGTTGTCATTATATACGTGCTTATTATTCAGGCCTCGTTTGTTGTTGTGGTTGTTGATTGGAGTGGATTAAGGGTTTATCCCAAGACAATCATACATTTGTTAATAAGGATTTAAGCCTGTGTGATATTTCGTGGGCTCGGGAGTAAATCTTAGTATCATATGATGATTATTCATCCATTGGTGGGGCCGTGGGATTGATGGAAATTATCATATTGGATTATTGCTTGTTATTTCGAATGTATCCCTAAAACTTTTCAGTTTTTTACCTTTTGGCATATAATTTTTGTTAAACATGTTAGTTTCAATATCATATTGTGTAATAACCCGAAGGTAGACATGTCCATTTGTCGGGCCGGGTCGAAATCCGGCCCGGCCCGCCGGGAACCGGGCCCGGCCCGCTTGTAACTAAGGGCCGGTTCACTGAACCGGCCCTTAACCGCCGGGTCGCAAACCCGGCGAGTCGAGTCGGTTCCGGGTCGGGCCCCACATATTCTTCTTCTTCCTCGTTGGCTCAAAAACCCAGAACCCGAACCGGACCCGGCCCGACCCGCCGAGTTTTTTTTTTGACCGAAGAGGCCCGGGACCGGCCCTCTAGATGTCCGGTTCCGGTTCGAAAACCGACTTTTCCGGTCTGGGTCCGGTTCGGGTCGGGCCGGGTCCGGGTCGGTTCGGCGGGTCGGTTCGACCCGTGGTCATGTCTACCCGAAGGTCGAGATATTTCAAAGTTTACAACGGGTATAGTTTACACCATATGTTCATACATATGATATCCGGCTCGGTTCGACATGGAATAAATTCTTTGTCGGTTGATAACCTTCAAGACCTGCACAAACTCAGTGTCGGAGGATTTTCTGGCGTATAGCTTCCGACGTTAAAGTTACAATGTGAAGAAGATGATGAAAAGTAGTAGAGTACTATAAGTATGTAGAGAGAGTAGAGAATGTACACTCCTTTATTATATTAGGATGTGTTACTTTGTTACTCACTCTTTTAAAATAAATAGTTAATGTTGGTTTGATATAAAAGTAAGGGTAGTTGATTAGAAGTCATGAATAGTTAAAATCAGTGTTCTAGAGGTTGATAGGCGCTAGACTAGCGGCTAAGGCGGCATCTAGGCAGAGCTGAGAAATTAATATTAAATAAATCCTTATTTTTTTTATTTATTTTCACTACATGTAAAATAGAATTATCTCAACTTATAATAATCTACACACCTAAGTCCAAATAATAATACTAACATATTATAAAGAAAATATGATAACAAAATATTGTAATTAGTATTTAATTTTTTATGTAAAAATAGAAATTTGCCGTCGAGCTCGCCTAGGCACCGCCCAGTCGCCTGGATGTCGAGCCCACCTAGGAGCGCTTGAACCCACCTTGGAGCAGGCCTAGCCGCCTGGCTGATTTTCAACATATTCATGCAAATTAGAGATGTCTGCCTAAACTGATTTTTAGTATATTGGTAAAAATTTTGTGGGTGGATGGATAGTGAATTAAAGTTAATGTGATGTGTAAAGATAATTGGTTGGTATAACTTAACTACATTGATAATATTAAAAATAGTGGGTTGCGTTGAATTTGAGTTGTGATTGATTTTTTATTTCTTATTTTTTTTAAAGAAAAAACTTAAATCCATGTACTAAAGAATTTCATCTTAATGGAAACATTATTATCCTGAATAAAATTGTGACCTAAAAAGGCAGTTTGTTTAAAAGATGATAAAAAATAAAATTGTGACCAAAGACCACCTTTATCCGTGACCCTCCCCCATTGGGTCACGGAATTAAAACAAAAAAAAAGGGAAAAAGGTCATCATAAGCGGCGACCCAGGCCACATTGTGACCTCGGGTCGCGAACGATTTTTTTTGTAGAAATGGGACACTTGTCCTATTTTTATTGAACACGTGTATTTTTTTTTTATTTCTAAAAAAGATAAAAAATATTAAAATTCGTATTTTTTCATTCTCTACAAATAGAGATCACACTTGATATATTTTAGAACACAATTGAATTTTTAAATAAATTAACATAAAATAAATATTTAGGTTGAGTTGGGTTGAGGATAAAGATAATTTGGGTTGGAAGATTGAGTTGTATAGGTAGAGAAGAGAGAAATAATTTTTAATTGTTAAGTTGGGGAAGATAAATTGGGTTGGAAGATTGAGTTGTATAGATAGAGGAGAGGAAAATAATTTTTAATTGTTAGGTTGGAGATAAAGATAGTCGAAATAAAAATGATGGAAAGTAAGTAATAAGGCAGTTTGTTTCAACAATTGATAAAAATTTCGCCCACCGTGGGGCTCGAACCCACGACCACAAGGTTAAGAGCCTTGCGCTCTACCGACTGAGCTAGACGGGCTTTTGGTTAAAAAGGTTAGTAAAGCATATTTAATAGGTATTATACCATGTGGTTTTATATTGTCTCTCTTTTATACACTTTAAGATCAAATTTCAAATTGCTTGACGGATCAAGCAATCCCATTTTTGAGTTCATTGCCCAAAAGGTTAGTCGATTATCATATTCCACATATAAAAATTAGTGAAATATAATGCAAGCGAAATAATTAGCTGCAAGGTGGTGAAACATGACCGATGTGCCAAAGTTCATGCAGTTTAAATGATAACATAAACTGCAAAACACAAAATTTTGTGTGAGACAGCTACACAATTAGGCGGGTCGACCCATTATATTTTTCGAACAAAAAACGCAATACGTATAATGAGAAATATCATGATATTGATAACCAAATGATTTAGCCGCGGAACTATATTTAAAATACATCTTCAGTAAGTGTTCAACAAACGCAGACGTATCAAAACATAATCAACATGTTTTACCGATGACATCATTTCTTGCAACAACATTTATACTGCTATTTACATCTCTAGTAAAAAATGGTCCAAATCAAGAGTGAAATGTAACATTATAGTCAGTATAGAACAGACCAATGTAGATTTTTCAGACTCTAGCCTAAAAATGAATGAAAAATGGAAGAAAAAAATTATTGCTCAATTAGTTACACTCCTGGCCCTCTACTGAAACTCTCTTGTATAGATTCAGCCTGCAAACTCTCTGCACTCGCTCACTCTTGCTTCGGTTCGGTTTTTTCCCTTGTCTGAAAAACAAAAAGAGAAAAAAAAATCAACGATTCGAAATGAATTATATCGTGAATTTATGATTCAAACCATTAAGCAGTCGTGACAGTAACACAAAATTTGTGTTTTCTTGTTTGTCCTAACCGAGTCGCTTCATTTACACGGCTTATGCAGACTAGTTGATTTCCAAATTTCGGATCACGTTATAATCTTCAACGTTATATTGACAACGAATGCAGAATGCACACAACATACATATCGTTCAGCACTATAATTTTTGATGCAAAATGTCTAGTTGTTACCTTGTCGAAAACGTCTTTCTTGTACCGATATCCCTAGACAACAGAAAGAGCATGGATTCATTAAAATGTTCTTGAAATAACCTCAAAGAATGGTAAAAAGCAAAGAAAAGAAAAAAAAAAAAAAAAATCACAAACCTTGTCGGTCCCATAGATGTAATCACAGTATGTGAAAACCGATGCGAAGTTACTTTGGCTTTTCCCTCCCACGTAGTGATGGTAGTCATGGAAAACGGCCCCACCGTAAAACGGGATGTACTTCAAAGGACTCCACGGGAAGTCATACCTGAAAAAACGGATAAAAATTAGAAAAACTAGCAACAAATATACTTCATCGTGGGAATGAATTTCAATATGAAAGTAGTGTATTGTGTGTAGAAGCTGAAACAAAGCCTACTTGTAATTTGTAACCAACATTTGAAAAACATCAAAGGAAGTAATTTTATCCAAAACTTACAGTCTGCCGATTCATTTACACAAAATGAGATTAATATTTTACCCACTGTGAGTCTCGACGGCTTCCATTTGCCTCACAATCATCCATAGCCAGAAGGTGACCATATGCCCCGGAGCAATAACTGGGCCAAGAAATGAGGCCAAGCCAAGGGTTATGACCTCGGCCCAATGAGCGTAAGGGGCTGCAAACCCGATTGGGGCCGTGTACTCGTGGTGGACCCGGTGGATATTTTCGTAGCCCCATTTCTGATGTAGAAATCTGTGCATCCAATAATTCGCGTAGTCCTCGACTAAAAAGTATGTCAATATTTGCCAGAAAAGCTCGGAGCCCGACGGTAGTGGCAAACTTGTTCTGATTCCAATCATCTTCAAGAATTTGGATATTATATGAACATGGGCATCAGAAAATGATGATTAATTTAAAGATTTAAACAATACAAAAGATTAAAACAAGGTAGAACCATAAAAAACAGAGCATTGTCATGTTATACTTCAAGAAATGGATGAACTTTGGTTCACAACATGATGGTTATGCATTCATGTTCGACGGTAGAAGAAAAGAGAACAAAGAACACATGAAAATTTCCCGAAATCCATACCCATTTGGCCTTTTTAACCTTCACTAATCTCAACCAAGAATCCATGTAAACGTTAACTAGAAAGGGTCCACAAAGACAAAAACACAATCTTTTTATTTCATAATATCAATCCTAATTACATGAGCTGCAAAATACGTGATCCAGCGTACCAACCCGCATAACAAAGAACACGGAAGACGTGATCATATTATATTTTTCACTAAAGTCGTCCATTTTCTATAATCCCAAATAAAGCTTGAGACAAACACAAACATATTCAATCAACCAAGAATCAATACAAAAAAACACAATCTTTATCTTGTCACACCAATCTTAATAACATGGGCTGCAAAATGCGTGGCCAATCCTATCAACCCACATAACATAGAACACGAAACATATGAACACAATTCATGGAGCTGTCCCACATGATTTTCATGTGGAGCTGTCCCATTGGTGGTTGGTTCCATAAGGAAACCAACTATCTGGTTCCTTAGCAAAATTGTGAACACAATATCATCTTTTTCCATAAAAATCACACATTTTCTAAAATCAAAACGCAGACAAACACAAACACATTCAACCATATACCTGAATGACGGGAAAAGAAAAGATTTGCAGGGGCACAACAGCAACGACAAACGTCTTGAGAACTTTTACGTAGCAATCGAGCATGTCCGAAAGCGAGTTCTTCGTCTTGGGCTGGATTTTGTACCTATCGATCCTTCGGGATCGCGTGAGCTCCAAAGCCACGTACGGCAATGGCAGCACCGTGTAGAAAATGAAGAGGAAAATCGTGTTGTGGCAGTACAGAAAATAATCCGATTTTTGGGCAGAGTATTTGAACCATAACTCCTCTGCAAATGTCAAATTTCTGCCCAGAAAAAGCTCTGCTTCTTGAAGGGTCTCAAATGGCAGCATTTTCTTGGCACAAAGATTACTTTTTTCTTTGTGGGTTTCTTGTTTTTTTTTGGATTTTTCTTCAGTTTCTCTCTCTATATGTGTACTGTGTGTCAGGGATATAGAGAGAGAGAGAGAGAGGAGAAACGAGAAAGTGGTGAGAGACGAGGAGGTTTGTTGCAGTTTTTGTCAGTTGCTGCAGAAAAGGGAAATGGAATTTGTTGAGAGAGAGAGAGAGAGAGAGAGAGAGAGAGTTTGTAAGATTTGTTTGTTTCCATGGTGAAGCGAATTAATGGGACGAACTGTTGTTGACTTCTTGTTTGGTTGATTTATCCTCAACAAATGGTGGACAAATAAAAGGATTTTATTTGGCAATTTATTTATTTATTTATTTATTTATTTATTTTTTCAAAAAATTTTAAAATTTGTTTGAAAAGAAGTTGAACAAAAAACGACTATTTTGGAGGAGATTTTTTTATGTTTTAACTCATAGTAGTACAACGCCCGTGTATTACACGGGTGTTTGCTAATTTTTTCTTAAAACCTAAAATTAATGAAAAAAGTAATTGAAAATTTAAATACATTTTATAAAAAATATATATTATTATATATTTAGTATGATATTTTTTTATTTGTACGACTTACTTATGTTATATTATAATAATTTTTCAACTCACAACATGTAATGACATTAAACATAAATATATCAATTGAGAAATAATTTTTATTATTATAAAGATAAATATAATTAATTTATTTCATATATACAATATGGATGTCAAATCGAAGATCATCAAAAGATGATTAATTTGATATATTATATATGGAAAACCGATAAGAAATACAAAACTTATCAACTTTTAAATACATTTACAATTAAATAACTAATTGAAGGAAACAAATCAAAAGTCAGGGATATATTAGTCACTTAATGTCTCACTATATAAAATTACAAAGAATTAAAGGGTTATATTAGTACAAGTGATATTAAAATACCTAAGTTAGCTATTTAATATATATGAAATGTCTGAACCTATATTATTAATTATTAATATATCAATATTATTTGTCCAAACTTAATTACGAAGCATGATTCTTTGCCAAGTAGGATTCCGAAACACCAGAAACAGCCATGTAAGCTCAGCGCATTCGAGAATAATATATAGGGAGGATTTTGTTTTCTTGGTTGAATGACACGCATAAATGATAAAACATTATTCTGAATAATATATAGGGATGATTTTTTCGTCAATTAAAATTTCATTTTAGTTGATGAATGACAAGGGTCGATAATGTCATCACAATTATACCCGTGTTAATCATCCAACAGAATGAAGCAGAACATGGTTTTGTAAATAAATATTGCAAATGTTCAATAGTTTTATTATATATGTAGAACCTGCAAATAATTGTAATGTGCATAATCTAAATAATAATTTCAATGGCCTTGTTTGGCGATCAGCGGATAGCGGATAGCGAATAGCGGATTGTATTAGCGGATAGTGGATAGCGGATTATATTAGCTGATTTGACTAGCGAATTGCATTAGCGGTTTTTAAATAAGTGTTTGGTAAATAGCTGAAAGCTTATAGCTGTTTGACATTGCAAATTACCAATAAAGACATTTTATTATTTAGGGTGTATTCTTTTAATAATAATATATTAAAACATTTAATATTTTTTAGTTGGTAATTTATAAATATATATTTTTTTTAAAAAAATTACTAAAAATTTATTAAGAAGTTATGAATTTTACATTTTTCTAGATAAATTAATCATATGGATGACATATTATTATTTGTTAGCATCATAAACCAATGTAGATTATAAAATAAATAATACAAATTAAAAAGTTCTAAATTAAAATTGTAATTGTGAATCCTCTATCCTCAAAAAGCTCCTCTAATGAGCTTTTTCTAAATTAGAGTTTTGGGCCTAAAAAGCTTATCAAATAAGCTATTTACCAAACAAGCTCAATAGCGGATTTGACAGGTCAAACCTCTCAATTAAGTCTAATCCGCTAATTTATGCTCAATCCGCTATCTTCCAAACGGGGCCAATATGTAGAACTTAAGTTGCAGGTTCGGACGCTCTTTGTATGCTTATTTGTTTGTAATATATCATGTTTCATATTGCTACATATACAACTTTCCATATTACCAACTATGTTGGAATCTATATCTATATAAAAAGAATTACCATTTTTTAAAAATAGTAGGTCAAATTCTGGTCAAATCTTAATTAGCATTAATTACATTCCATACTTAGTAACTTTTTTTTAATCAACATTAAATGCTACCCTAAAATTATGGTATTTGTTACTTTTCTTTCAAAAAATCGTGCTACCTTAAAGAAACAATATTACATACCATAAATTTTTTTGACAAACTAAAGTGTTTTGTTTGGAAACTATTATATTTTAATTAAAACTAATTACAGTTGATTTGATCATGAAATGGTACAACAATTTTTTATTTTTTTTTAATTTGCACCCTAAATTTATATATTTTGTGGATTTAATTTAGGTAAATTTCGACTGATGCAAAAGTCAATTTTCTTTCTCTATTTTTATTAAAAAACTGATTAAAATAAAATCAAGAATTTTGAATTAGGCAAAATACTATCACATATATCTTTTACTAATTGCAACTAATCAATTATTTATTATAAAAATCGGATTGCATAGTCGGCATGACAATTTTGTAAAAGTCAAAATTCTTTCAATTTTATATATAAAAAACATGTTTACCACACAATCGAGAATTTTGAATTAGACAAAACACTATAACATGTATCTTTACCTAATTGTAGCAGATTATGTTTATTAAAAAAAAAATCGGATTACATAAAAATCGGGCCAAATTTTAAATTAAAATTTAAAAATCTTTTATCATTTGATTACTACTTTCTTTAATTTGGACTTTTTTTTTAAACATAAAACAAAGTCATGTAATATTAATTTGAATTTCAAAATGAAATCGTATTGTAACATCCTAAAAATTTGGGTTTTATTTAATTATCTAGAATACAAATTTGAATTGATTGAATACACTTACAAAATAAATAATGATTACATACACTTACAAAATATCGTATATATTCTGCTAAATTATTTAATCGATTTATTTTAGACTATCTACAATCTTAATATAATTTGTGGCGATAGACGATGTGCCAAAAGACCAAACAAATAATTTTGTGTACATTGACGTGTTTAATAATATATAACGTTACATTGTGTTTCATTTCAATATATGTATTTTACGTTCTTCTAATCATTCAAATTTAACTGCTTACCTTAATAAAACTAGCTCGTGCATCGCACGGGTACCGCACTAGTGCTTCATAAATTTTTTTACCTATTTTTTTTTTTCCTAAATTAGCATATATTATATCCTTTTTCCAATATATATATTTCATTTATTAATAACTATAAATTTGTCATTACATTATCATTGGAAATTTTACAATTTTTCTTATTTGTATTTTATGTTTCATATATGATATGAGAACCAAATCAATTAATAATAATTTTCAAATGGACATCCCTAATTTGCATGAAAAAAATATAAATTGATAATCTAATCTAAAGATGGTAGTAGTTTTCTTGATCATACATACAGTATGATCACATTTGTAATATATGAAAAAACTGATTGCCATTGGAAATATATTTTGACTTATAAGTTATAACTATAAAAAAAAAATAGACCGTCTTTTTGAGTGCAATCCCCTATATATAATTCCCGAATGTGCTGAGCTTACGTGGCTGCTTCTGGTGCTTCAGAATCTTACTTGGCATGCTTTGTAATTAGGTTTGGACAAATAATATTGATATATTAATAATTAATGATCTAGGTTCGGACTAATATATCCCTACTTTTGATTTATTTCCTTCAATTAACTATTGAATTATAAATGTATTTTAAAAATTAATAACTTTTGTATTTCTTATCGGTTTTACATATATAATATATCAAATTAATCATCTTTTCATGGTTTTCGATTTGACATCCATATTGCATATATAAAATAAATAAATTATATTTATCTTTATAATAATAAAAAATAATAATATTTATTAAAATTTATTTTAAAAATAAAATTATTTCTCAATTGATATATTTATGTTTAATATAGTTATATATTGTAAGTTAAAAAAAATTATTATAATATAACACAAGTAAGTCACACAAATAAAAAGTGTCGTACTAAATATATAATAATATATATATTTTAATAAAAAGTATTTAAATTTTCAATTACTTTTTTTCATTAATTTTAGATTTTAAGCAAAAAAATTAACAAACACCCATGTAATACATGGGCGTTGTACTAGTTATATATATGACAAATCAAACATTCATTAATTATAAACAAACGAACAGGAAAAAAAATAAAAAAAAAAATAAAATCCAGTAAATATGTGACATGTCCCACAGCCACTGGAATAGTTACTAGTTAAATAACCAAATAAAGTTAAAACACAAGCAGTTAATTTAAATTGGAGGTAACAAAGGCAGTTGAACTGTTGAAGTGTTCTAAGACAACAAAATACAAACTGGTTCATCATCATCTCCCAATTCAAGATATAAATAGATGGAGCAAAAGAAGCCAAATGTTTGAAATTAGTCTTTCCTAAGCTCCATGAACTCACGGCGTATACCAGTGGCGTTCAGTACGAGCACCTCAAGCTTGTCTCCCTGCGACAAACACAAGAGGATGTAATGAGGTGGGGCCAGAAACTTCAACATTCGACAAAATTAATGCTAGCATAGGTAATTAATTTATAGAAAATGGCTCCATTTTGCAGGGATGAATACAAAAAAGGATCTCTGACCAATGAAGCATGAGGCATTTATAATACTGAAGATGGCTTATGCATTGTAATTTGACTAAACTTCATTGTGATAGCGAGATTTGCAGAGTAACCAAAACCCCAATAGATAGATAACTGGTTAGCACAGATAGAAATAAACATGTATGATGCCAATCAATTGCAACATACAAGCCTAGTTTCT